CTTTCATTAATGTCTGTACATTTTTTGAAAATTTTAGTCGTTTTTGCGCAATATTGCGTGAAATGTGTGCATTATTAAAAAATATCGTAAACAAACATTTATCTAAAACAGTCCCAACTTTTTCCTAAAACTTTTGCTAAATGTATTGTATAAGATGTCATAGAAGCAATTTTGCTCTATTTTGTTTTTTTAATACAAAAAATGCTTTTTGACAATCTCTCTTGATACCTCAAAAAGGGTGACTTGCATCAAGTTCGAATTCAAAACCCTCAAAAACAAAACAGTGGAGTTTAATTCATCTCCCTCCTTTCCCAACGTCTAGAATTGAAAAGAAAAAAGTACATCTTTTCTTACAATGGTCCTTCTTGAGACAGACAAAGCAGTTTCTACGAAACCTGAAAATCCAACTCGTCACTCCACAAATCCCATCTCTCGTGATATACTGATCCTTATATCCCTCAAAAATAAAATCAGTCGCTAATAGCAGATACATCGCTTCGTTTTCTTAAAAGCGAAATGTAATAAAGCTTCGGAAGCAGCCACAACGCCCTCAATCAGTATTATAGGCAAAATTTCAATTCTTCATTTCTGAATTAGATAAAAATGGAAAGTGCCGACATTCCTCCCGTCCAATGCAAACAATCCCTTCACTTAGAACTGAAACAAAAATTGCGCATACGACCCCGGAAATGCTCGAAGCACAATCCACTTCAAATCGGCGTACTCTCAAGGTTCACCCCCCCCCCACACACACACACCGAGAAAACATCTGTAGAGAAATTCGTAAATGACTGGTATATCACTGCCCCGTTACCTATAGATTATATCTCTCTAGACAACGTAAACAAATTAATCAAGAAAAAAAATATTCCTCCGTAATACTAGATGGCACATCTAACCTTTGCTCTAAAACACCTACCACCACACGCTCTTGCTTATCTTATGGTTATCTTGAACAGTTGTCTAAGACTCAGATTCTCTAAAACCCAATAAATCCAAAAACTCCCATCAAGTTACAGACCCAATGTCTATTACTAGCATTTGCAAAAATGTTCCAAAAGCGTATCTTAGATTAGACGCATACCTTAATAAAATAAATGCAATTCCGCAACATCAGTTTGGATTCCGTTCTCTTCTCTCCTCAATCCACCAACTATTAAGAATTGCTGTAGAAATTCCTATAGTTTATAAACGTTAACATTTCTGCATAACGGCGTCTTAGACTTCGCGCAGTCGTTTGGTAAAGTCTGGCACAATGGATTATTATTCAAGTTACGTAAACTAGGACTCTCTATTCCTTCGTCTCTGGGAATATCTATTCCAAATAATGCTTTCTTAATAATATATTCTTCACAGTAAAAAATAAACAATACCATATCCATACTGAATTAATAACCAATTCTAGCCGGCGTTCCTCAAGCCCCCCCTCTCTCCAACTCTCTGTAGTATCTTTACGGCAGATATTCCTCAATTATAATACTGTACAGAGCAGTAGCTCTCTATACTGATGACTCAGTTATCTTCACGTCCAACGACTTAATCTCTTAAGCAGTAAATGACCTGCAAAAAGACAATATACCTTATGTGATTGGTCTAAATATGGGGATTACATGTGAGCCCCTCAAAATGCGAAAACAAAATGTTTACCTTGCGAAGACCAAATATCCCTCTCGCTGTAAAAGTAAATAATTACCCGATCACATGAACCCCTTCAAATAAAGCAATAAAATACATGGGCGTCTTCGTGGATACTTGTGTTACATCAAAACCTCATTATTCATAGACTGAATAAATCTTACGGAACCCTACTCAAATTATATCCTCTTATTAATAAAAAATCATCTATAAAATTGAAAAGTTTTCTTTTTCTCATAAAATCAGACCTAAGACCCTCAATAACTTACGCTGCCCCAGTCTGGGAATGTGCTGCTTCTTTCCTTTTGAAACCCTTCCAAACCTTCGAGAATAAAGTGCTACGCACGATGATCAATGCCGAGTGGTATATAGCCAACTGACAACTACGTAGTGAAATGGATATAGAAACATTACAAATAACATTTCATTACTGTCATACAAGCTCTTTTCTAACTTCCAAACTGCTTTTTGCACCAGTCACTTTAACCTCGTTAAAACCAGCATTTCTTCTACAAGAATTAATTCCTGCCTCCCAAAATATCTGTTCCGTTCCGTCCCTCAAACTAGAGAAATAACTATTTCATCTCATTCCATATCTTGCTTGCTTTAATTTCATAAAATTAATGTCATCATAGAGGTACCGAGTGGAGATGTCCTCTCTCAGAAATAGGGGTATGATGGGATGCTAACTTGCTGCTACTCATAACTTCCGGCCACTGTAGTGCATCCATCTATTATATTACATAAATAAAAGACAACACTCACCTGATCATCATATGGTAATCCCACTGATCTAGTAAAACCTATTTAGCGGTTTCCGTGAGAGACATTTCGTATTCTGATAGGAGAGGCACTTGTGATTCAAACCTCTTGGTGCTCAATCTACTTCGTGTGCAGACTCAATGGAGAAAAAAAACACGTTGGTGGATTACGGATCGGAACTTGGTAGGAAAGACTTTGTGACAAGCGCTTTAATCAAAATTTGGAGCCTAAGCTTAATTCCATTTGCTTGTTCGGAGTTGAGGGCCTGGAGTCGGTGCCGCAAGCTCGGAAAATCGCGTTTTGGACGCGCTGTTACCGCAGAACGCACCACACAGCTGGCGCGTGAAGTCGCGTTTATGCGCTTTTCTATTAAAGAACTTGATCCGAACGAGTTTGAAGGTGAGCCGATCTGTTTATTGAACTCTTTTGGATTGCGATTGCCGTAATCAGGTTCCGTAAACTAATTAAAGCTGCCAACCTCAATGAAAGACTGCAATGGCGAATGCAAAGACTTACGCGGATGAAGATTGTTCTGTGGTCGTGTGGGCTCGGTACCTGAGCGACCACCGCTTTCGAGACTGTTGGAGGCCGCCACCGCAGCCGCCCCTGCCTTGGGGCGCTCGACGCCGCCCGGCGTCTATAGCTGACGGGCCACCGAGCTCCTGGAGGCAACGGAGGCCGCGTGGGATGAATTCTACGCTGGGAACCGCGCTATGGGTTCCAAGCACGCTCTTCGGACGTGCTATTCAGAGACTTTTGGTTAACTCCAGAGGGAGAATTATATAGTTACTGCATTTAAAGTAGTATGGCCGCGCCTTGCTCCAACCTAAAGTTTTTGTAACTAGAGATTATTTTAATTTTAATAATTCTCAATTTAACAATGAACCCAGAAAAAGGTATTCAAGGAGTTTAATGCACCTACTTTTAGTTTCATTAAATTTTCATTGGTTCCGTCAAACAATTTTTCTTAATTTTAACAACGCCCATCTTTTGACCCATTGAAACAGCTATCCAGCACGAACCAAGCTAGCCGGTGCACTATCATAATTTTGATAATCACGAGGACGTGACAATTGGCTGTCCCAAGCGTGGGGCTTGATTTTTATTAAATTAAAATTAAAGATCGACAAATACACTATCTATGAATTTCATTGACTTTATAGAAATAAGTGAATTCCGTAGCACCGTATTCAGCTGTCTTGTGGCTATTTTCACTTTCCCGTACACGTGCGGAGTAATATACATAGTAAAGAAAATGTTATGTAATGCTGCGGAAAATCGATTTTCAGATTTCAACGGAAATACACGTTCTGGGGTCCCCTGATACTGAAAAAGTGGTTCTTTTCAAAACGTCCGTCCGACCGTCGGTTTGCGAACTCTTGCGCCTAAACCATACGTACGATTTTTTCCGAAATGGATATTTCCCGATTGATCTGGCTTCACTAGAGGCGCCCCGACAGCGCACTGAACTGTCAGAAGTATATACGTTGCCAATATTGTAGCATTTCATAGGAGACATCGCAGCGTTACTAACATGATAACTTTTAAAAATTACTACGGGGAATTACAGAAAGAAAAGAAAATTGCACATGATTTTTTTAAAATATTTAGAGAAAGGAAAAAAAATGAGGAAGACATTCAGGAAATCCGAGTTGCAGACAACGCGCCACTGCACGACGACCAAGCGAAAGCAAATGCGTTTAACGCGTATTTTGTATCGGTATTCAAACCAAAACAAGTTCAGGAGCAAGTTAATTATTTTCGAATTGAAAACCAGTTCGAGCTTAATGCATAGGAACTCCGCAAACGTTCAAAGTAACTAGGAAATGGTAAATCACGCGGGCCAAACGGCATCGATTTTATTAAACTCTGAGGTGAGGCAGTTTTGCCATATTTGTTAAGATTATTTAATGTTTCTATTAATAACGCAAGTTTACCGGGCGACTGGAAAACAGCTATAGTTGCTCCAATTTTCAAAAATGGCGATAAAACGAAAGTATGTAAATATAGACCAGTGTCCCATCAGTAGTATGCAAAATAATGGAGCATTTAGTAGCCGGAAACATTCGCCGCGAATGGGGAAAAGCGAACTGGATTTTTCACCGACAGCATTGGTTTAGAAGTGGATAGTCAGGCGAAAGATGTGCGGAACAGTATACTAATTCTGTACGTAACCATTATTACGAGTGTGAAAGAATGAGCTGTTTTAGCACCACTAGTTTAAAAAATATTGCAATGTCGGTGAGGCTTCATGTACCCCCGATATTAAAGTAGGGTATCGTGTACCCTATTTATCGACTGGGGAAAATAAATTTTGGAGAAATTGTCGCTTGCGGCTTTGCCACTAGCATTGTTCACAGATGGATGCACAGAAATGTTGCCGTCAATCGATTTTTTGGTATCAAGAACCCCCTAAATCTAGATTCGGGGTACATAACGCGTTATAGTAATTTGTTGTGTATAGGGACAAAATTTATCCACTTTTTCAACGCCACCAGTTGTTTTTTTTTTTTTGGGGGG